TTTTTTTGTTCATATTGATGCATTGGATGTCATTATATTAGGATCAATTACCTTGATTTTTTGTTTGTCTTTTGAAAACATTTATTCCTATTATATAGAGTCATACACAACCAAACATCAATATTGGTAATCATTCTAATTCTACTCTACTACCAAACATGCAAAATACTTTCACCAAAACCTATTATCATTACCATCAAGACTATGTGGTTTAATGGTACATGGGTTAGACTTTCATTTGGAAGGTTGTGAGTTTGAACCTTTGTGTTGGTTCTTTCTATTTTAGTAGGTTGAGAAAGTATATGAACAGATACTACACTACATTGTAATAGAGCTAGTAGCATTGCATTTGTCATTCTGATCACATCCTTAGTTTTTGGTTGACAACTTTTTAAAACACGTACAATTATGAGATTTGATTATCCATTCAATTAAAAACCTCATTCCCGAACTAAAAAAAATGTGTGTCATTTCATTTTATTGATAATCTAATTTTTAAGTTTGAATTAGTGCTTTTAGATATTTGTTTTGATTTTTTTTTTTTGTTCATATTGGTCTGGCTTTGTTGGCCTGGAACTGAACCTTGGATACCGGACACTTCTAATCTGTATGTGTTAACTACAGTCTCTCAGCATCACAAAGAGGTTACTGTTAACTGCCTCATTGTTCCAACAACGAAGAAGTGGGACGTCGTTGATTTTCTGCATGAAATGTTTATCGAAAGGGATGTAGAGTTAATCAGAAAAATTCCCCTTGAATTGATACCCATTTTGAGGACCAGTGGCTTTGGAACGGTGACTTGCGGGGTATGTTATATGTATTCACTTAGGAATTATTACAAGAAAATAAATAAATCAATAATTAATAATATAATACCTTTAATAAGAAATAAGTTTATGAATTGCAACTACTAACTACTAAGTAGTAAGTGTAATTTCTTTTTTTTTTTCAATTTGAAATAAATAAAATTTTACAACTTTAAAATATTTTAATGTAGTAATTACTAATTAGTATGCTAGTTAGGTAATTAACTAGCTAGATAGTAAATACATAAAAGTTTAATACACATAAAACCAATGTCATAGTTTTTAATGTGATAATCTCATAGTCATTATTCTATTAAAGTGTATATGTAATACGGAGTATTATATTTTTGGCTAAAGTGTCATCTCGCACCATGAATTACTCTTGATTATTAATGACGCACCATGATCTTTAATAAGTGATATTTAAATCCACAAACCATTAGGTTTTCTACAGGTTATCGGTAACAATATTGCTAACATGGGATTTATTATTATTATTATTTCGTATTTTTCTTCTTTCGCCTTCGTATTTTTTTTTTTCGTATTTTTCTTTTTTCACTACAAGAAAAATGCACATAGACAACACTAGAAAGACAACAGTTTAAAAGTGTTGTCTTTTGTATAAAAGACAACAGTTTGGTCCAAAATCGTTGTCTTTGATGCAACACTTTTGTCAAAGACAACGGTTTTTACTTCATCGTTGTTATAAGTGTGTTGTCTTTGTGCATTTTATGAAAAGACAACACCACAACGAAAATGGTTTTTTAAAACCGTTGTCTATGTGCGTTTTTTTTTATAAAAAAGACAACGGTTTTTTTAACCGTTGTCGTTGGTGTGTTGTCTTTAAGCGCAATAGAATACACAACACTAGAAAGACAACGGTTTTTTAAAACCATTGTCTTTGTGCGCTCTTTTTTTTAAAAAAAAAAGACAACGGTTTTATTTAACCGTTGTCGTTGGTGTGTTGTCTTTAAGCGCATTAGAATACACAACACTACAAAGACAACGGTTTTTTAAAACCGTTGTCTTTGCGCATTATTATTCTATAAAAGACAACGGTTTTATTTAACCGTTGTCATTGATGTGTTGTCGTTAAGCGCACTCGAATACACAACACTAAAACGACAACGGTTCCGTTGTCGTTGCGCGTTCTTTATTTGTTTAAAACAAATAAAGGTTTTAAAATATAAAATAAAAACTAAGATGTTAACAATAAGAGTTGAACCTATGACCTCAAACTTAACAAGTAGTATAACCAACTAAGCAACACAAACTCTTATGTTTAAAGGTGCAACATCTGGTATATAACCAACTTTAGAAAATAGTTGAAGATTCCCCCCTAAGAAGAATAGAACCTAATACCTCTAACATAATAAACTAAGCTAAACCCACTAAGCCACACCAACACTTATTTACTCAAGCACAACATCTAATATATTACCAGTTTGCTTATGTGTTGTCTTTGAGAACCAAGACAATGATTATATAAAATAAATTAAGAATGCCACCACGAAGGATAAAACCCAAGACTTTTAACATAACAAACAAAGCTAAATCCACCAAGCCACACCAACTCTTGTGTATTAAAGTGTTACACCTTATCTTTTACTATAATTTAACAAAGAAAGAATGTAAGGTTAAGGGCGGTATGATAGGGGCCGGGGTTGGTAATCGACTCTTCCGGCTAGCGCATGACTAACAAGGTTAGTTATATGTTGGTAATCGACCCTTCCGGCTAGCGCATGACTGACAAGGTTAGCTATATGTTGGTAAACGACCCTTCCGGCTAGCACGTGACTAACACGGTTAGCTATGTTGGTAATCGACCCTTCCAGCTAGCGCATGACTAACAAGGTTAGCTATATGTTGGTAATTGACCCTCCCGGCATGCCTGGGACACGTTGAGAATGGATATGAAAGAGTAGTTGATCGATGCCGTACAATTAGCTATATCACATTTCTTTTGCCGCGATCTTAATTAGCTCTATGTTCATAATTACCAAATTATATATTCATAATTTTTGAATTGAAATGCATATTCATAATGATTGAATAACTCTGATTTATATTCACAATTACAGAACTTTATGTTTATAATTTGCGATGTTCATATTCCCAAGTGTTGATAACTATACAGTTTAGAAATTATGAATCAACAATACAGAAAGTATGAATCTGCAGTATAGAAATTATGAATTTACTGTATAGAAATTATTAATCTATACAACTGTATTTAAATTAGAAATATACTATATAGAAATTATGAATCTACATTATAGAAATCTATGAATCTTGTGTTATATATATATATATATATATATATATATATATATATATATATATATATATCATAACAAATAAGATACATACTACCTTTATACGCACTATTTTGGCCGTTAATCTCGGCATGTACTTCAGGCGTTATATATACATATATATATATCATATCATAACATAACAAATAAGATACGTACTACATTTTTAATAGTTTGTAATTTTGATTAGTTTTTTAATAATTTACAAAGAAATTTTTAATAATTTGTAATTTTGATTAGTTTTTTTTTTCTATTATTACTGATTAGCTTTTTATAGTCAAAATAATGGTTGATATGAGACCATAACATTTATACTTAAATTTTTCTATATCGTACATCGTACGGATAAAATACTATTATATATATCTTCTTTCATTTTAAGTTTTTTGTTTCCCTCCCAAAAAGAACTCACACAGTACACTTAGTGAAAAAAATTCAATTCCATCCCAAATAAAAATTCCTAACACTTAGCGCGAAAAAAAAAGATTCAGTTCCTTCACAAACAGATTGAAACTCACACGGCGGTCCTTTGCAAAAACAAAACTCAGTAGCGGCCCTCTGCAAAACACACAGCGAAAAACAGGCGAGAACACAATGGTAATCGTCGGCGGACTTCAATCTCTCGCCAACAAAGTGGTAACCGCCGGGGCCATCACCGCACTAGCGAAAAACACCGACGCTGTTTCTCCCTCGCCGGCCGGCCACCGCCGTCGGCGTTGCTACAGGTTAGTCATCATTTTTTTTTAAACCCTAATCCCTAATTTCTTAATTGTATTGTTGAATTTCCATATTTGAAAGCTATGAATGTTCTTAAACCCTAGGTTAGTTGTGGATTATTAGGTTAGTTTATGAGACAAGACCTGTATACTGTGTATATTATGTTGTGGATTATTATTATTATTATTATTTCAAAATGCAGTGGTTGTATCTCTATGCAGTGGATTATAGAGATTGTTTGTTGTATGGAGGCCACATCATAGCAAATGATGAAAGAATGACTAAATGGATCTCCTTAGGCAAGGGTAAGAGTTGGGAAAAGACAAAAATGACAAAGTTATGTTTGACAAAGAACATTCAAATTACCATTATCTGTTGTTTTATATGGTTTTGTTCCTAGTACTGCAAATTAAAGTGAGTTTTTGACAACAATTTTTATGGTATGAGTACATTACATAGTTGATAAAGAATTGATCATTGCCTCTCTACTTCTGTTTGTAATTATGAATTTCAGGATTGAGTCTGATATTGTTTTGATTGCAAAATTATGCCAGGGAATGCATTTAGATCCCAATTCCCAGTATATATCAAAGGACTAATAATTAGTAAGTGGAAATGCATCGATGCAAATGCTCACTATAATATTATCTTGCTTTATCTGTTGTTTTCATTAGAATGAATATCAAAGAGGTTGGCTTATCTGATATGGTGCTGGATTGGCTTATCTAACACTTTAGCACATTGTACACTTGAAATTCTGTACATACCATCTCATGCATTGTTGATTTCATTTTAGGGAGAAAAGTATGGGAAAACAGCAGGCTAATGGGTCAAAATTTAGGGAAATGAAAGAAAAATGTGGCAGATGTGCACATACTGTGAATTCTTCTGTCATATGAGCAAGACTAGTCTCAAACTATTTATACATTGAATTGCTTGATCATATTATGGTTATATTAGAGCTACTTGATTAATCGAAGAGGATGTAAGATCTTTGGTTTCATAATCTAGTATTCTAGTGAGTAGTAGAGGTGCATGGGTTTTTAAACTTGCAAATGGCAATTAGTAGGGGAACTTTCATTTGCTTGCTTCTGGCCCATAATTTATTAGTATTGGAGTTCTTTCCTGTCAGAATTCTATTAGCTCTGATGTTATTGTATAGATGCATAAACACACACACATTTATAAAAGGGGTGATTTTGCTGTGTCTCAAGTTTCAAGCTTAGATATCTATCTTTTGAAGAAGGTAGTTGAAGGCTGTGGTTTTATACAGTCTGACTCTTCTAAGTATCCTGATCATTTAAAATTTTGTGCTTTATAGGTTGGCCTGTTTCCAGATGTAATAGAGCGGAAAATTAAGCAGCATTTTGACAAGGGGGATGACGTAAGATATATTTGAATTACTTTCCATGCAATACAGATTTTATGACATTGTTGGTGATGTATGCATGGTGATGGAAGATTTCAGCTCTAGTGACCGGTGAATTCTACACTAGGAAGGATCATTTTCCTGGTTTTGGCAGGCCTTTTGTATTTAATGCAGAAGTTTTGTTGAGGTCATTATATCTAATCATTTGCTTTTCTAAGATTTCTGTTCTGCTGACCAACAATTTCCAACATTTTGTATATTATCCCCATTTCATTTATATAGGGTTGGGCGTAATGTGGAAGCTAAAGATGCGGTTAGGGGTGCTTTAAAATCACCATGGTGGACTTTGGGTTGTGAATATACCAGGTCTGCCTCTGTGAGTAATGAATATAGTCTTCTTAGCATGCTGTCTGTCTGATAAATAATTAGGATCCATGGTACTTTCAAGAAAATAGAATCTCTCCCTCTTTCTCTCAGTCTTTCTCTTTCTTGTTCTTTCCACAGATCAATTAAATGGATTATAGATCAAACTGATTGATTTAGTCTAATCTGATGGTTTCATTTTAGTTTTCAAATCACAAGCAACATAATATCCAGTTATTGGATGAGTCTCCAGGTTCCTCCAAAACACACACATATGTATTAGATTTTAGAAAGAATTAACATGATGGGATCAGTTGTTTTTGTTTTTGGTTTTGGTTTTTTTTTTTTTTTTTTTGTTTTTTTTTTTGTTTTTTTTTTTTTTTTTTGTTTTTGTTTTTTTCCTTAAGATTTGTGAAAAATATAAATATATTAATACCTCATATTTCTCCAGCATGCTCAAGACATTAGAGAGGTACCAGAAGTGCAACTATGGAGCATCAGAGACAAATATATCCACAAGGGACTCTTTGGTACGTATTTCCCAACTATTTCTACAATTCCCTTTAATAATTTATTTTAATGGGTAATAAGAGAAGTGTTTTACTTAAAGTTTATTGTTTATAAATTGCTTATTACCATATATGTTTATTAATTTTCACTTGAAAATTTAACACTTAAAATTATTGAAAGCATTTGAGGGAAAAATGTGCAAGTTTATTATAAAAATTTAGTGGGCATGGTGTGTATATTTTACTTGAATGTGCTTGCATAACTATATCTTTTCTTTTAAATGCCAGAGTGATCTCCATGGCGTTCCACTTGCTCCTTCATCTTTACTTGGGATGGCAACCTTCATTCCACCAAGTCAAATTGCTGCATGATAAGTGCTTATTTGTCTATATTTTCCTCCCTTTCACTAAGCCATTTTGCTTATAGATCACTCCAAATTTCATGAGATTATGATTAAATTGTGTTATTTTGCTAGGAGTTTGGTTTGGAAAGCATTGGAAGCAAAGATGAGTAATATCATGCATTTTGGTGGATATTGGAGTCAAGTGGAGCATTTTGGATGAATTTGGAGTCAATGAGAGCCAAATATGAAGCTATGGAGATGGATGCAACACTTCCAAAGGAGTCTAGGGTGGTTCTTTCAATGGTCTTGGTCATGTGGGCAAACCAAAGCAAAAGAGAAGCAAGCGACCATGCAATTGCAATTCCCGACCTGCACGTTGACGTCATGGTTTTTGGACCATATCTCAAGCTAAAAACATCCAAATTACATGATTCTTGTCCCATTGCAAAGAATACTCAAAGGACTACAACTCATATTCAGACATCAAAGCCTAAAAAGGAAGCCACAGTGGTCAAAATCATCCTTGAAGTTGAAGTTCCGAACTTACAGATTTCACTCGAAACTGACCACTGTTTGGTAATTTGATCATATCTCGACCTAGGATTGTCCAAATTAAGTGATTCTTGCGCCATTTGAAAGAAGACTTGAAGATCTACAACTTTCATGAAGACACCGAAGCCTAATTCTGAACATAAAGTGGTCAAAATCAGCCTACAAGTCGGAGTTGCGTTGTAGAGAAGCACTCGACGCGTCGAATCTGGGCAGTGAGGTCGCGATTTGCATTCTGTAAATGCTCGACGCGTCGAGAATTACGCTCGACGCGTCGAGCCCCCCGTCTCTGCTCTATTTTAGCTGAGTTTTCACTCATTTGTACTCGGTTTTGAACCCCATTCGAATCCTAACTATTTTCTACTCTTTCTTTTCATATTTTAGTATTAGATTAGGTGTAGATTTAGGTTCTTTATCATATTTCAAGCTTGTATTGAAGGATCTACACTTGGATTTCAAGATTCTACCATCCATTTTCAATAGAGAAGCTTTCCTTCCTTTTATCCCTTTCTTTTGCAAGATTTATGTTTGTTACTTATGCTTTTGTGTTCTTTATGTTATTTAATCATGAGTAGTTAGTTTATGGACTTGAGTTAGGGTTGTATTATCTATCTTGATGCTTGATTTGTGATTATTGCAAAAAGGGGAAGAACTCTAACCTAGGGTTCTTGAGTTTATGAAGGATTTGTGTTTGTATATTGTTAATGCTTGGTGTACAACATTCATTGACATGTTTTGGAGGATTCTTGGCCTCAATGAGAGTTGGGTTAAGATTCCAAGCTACTCCTTGCATAAACCCGATTTTTCCTATGAAAATGGGGGAAGTTGGGGGCTTTTGATGCTTTGTGTGCTTGATGGACTTGGAATTGATTTACCACGAAAGTGGGGCAATTCCTTGTTCTAATCCTTGTTTATTAATCATGAGAATGGTTCGTAGACTAGGATACCTACGTGCATTCCCGCTTGTTTCCTTGGTTACTTGTTCTCCCTAATCCCTTAGGTTGTTAAAGCATCTAGATGATAATGCTCCCTAGCTTGAGTCCTATTTCTTTATTTTTGTGTTTATCTTTGTGTATATGTGTTAGTCTTATCATTTCCTTAAACTTGTAGTTTGCTTAGCTTCTTGTTGATTTCCTTATGCTAGTGTCTAGTTTATTGTGATTGCATATTGCGTGCCATATCCCCCAATCCCCTGAGGACGATATAACACCCGAGCTCACATCTTATTTTTGCTACATCACTGCACTACATCCATTTGTAATGCATCAATAGGGAGTATGTATGATTTGATCATTTAGATTTGGTTCGTGGAATTGTTTTTTGTAGTATTATGACTTGGATGATATATGATTCGATTTGAATTGGTCATGGACGTATTTAGACTTGTTAATTAGTTCTTTTGTATTTTGAACATTAGCTTGTGCAAAACTATGTAACTACACTTGGCCATGGTGAATGGATAAATTGATTTTTTATATGATTAAAATTTAAGCAGGTTAAAAACTGTTGTCTATTTTATAATAAACAACAATTTGAAACTGTTGTCTTTTCTAAAAACCGTTGTCTATGTGCATCACTTTTAACAACACCAGTTTTAACAACATTGAATAGACAACGGGTCAAAAACCGTTGTCTTTGAAAGAAACAACAACGGTTTAAAACCGTTGTCTATGTTCGTGACTTTTAACAACACCGGTTTCAACAACACTTAATAAACAACGGTTAAAACACCGTTGTCGTTTATAGAAAAGACAACGGTTAAAAACCGTTGTCTATGTGCGTAACTTTTAACAACACCGGTTTCAACAACACTTAATAGACAACAGTTAAAAAACCGTTGTCGTTTCTAGAAAAGACAATGGTTATTAACCGTTGTCTATGTGCGTGACTTACAACAACACCGGCTTCAACAACACTTAATAGACAACGGTTAAAAAACCGTTGTTGTTTCTAGAAAAGACAACGGTTAAAAAACCGTTGTCTATGCGCGGGACTTACAACAACACTAGCTTCAACAACAGAAATTATACCCCTACGACAACGGTTATTAACCGTTGTCTATGTGCATTTTTCTTGTAGTGTTTCCTAAACATATAGGTTTGCTCTGCGTTTTTCGCTTCTCGTTTCTCCGATACCAAACTCTGCAAATCCTCGTTTGGTTTGTACTCATGGCCTCCTTCGAGCAAGCTCCGCCCGACGATGCTAGAGCCAGAGAGAAGATCTTGAAAATGAAGTGGGCTCAGTGCCACACCGTCGCGCGCTAATTCGTTAAAGCACGGTAATGTCATAGGGGAAGCCGGTTGTTAGGAACAAGTGTACTTAGATTTTGATGATACCAATCTTGCTAGGATCGTAGACCCCTCTTTTTCATTTCTTAACCTTAGAACTTTCGTGTTAGACGAAAGTAATAGCAACTCATCTTGTGATTCGGTTAAAATAGCATAAATACACGAATCTGAGTTGTGTTCAGTAGTTTAGGTCTACAAGAAGAAGTGAAGATGAAGAGAAGACCGAGAGAACAGCATAGACCGAAAGATGGAAGGCTCTCGGGTAAATATCAAATGATAAAGGAAGTCATTTTATCATCAAAGACAACGAAAGATAAAGACAATCTTTCGTATGACACTCCTGAGACCATCAAGTCTAAGTCAGATTTAAATAGACAAATTTAATACATGAGCAAAGAGAATGTTGTCTATGTTTCACAGTTGAGGAATTATCCTAGACAAAAGAAGTCCTAGGAATGAAATTCACAAAATCAAGGAGCATTAAATGATTAGTACTTCTTGTCAGAAGAAAAGGACAAAAGCCACAATGCTTTTTGACACTAACGGCTACACAGTACAACCGCAATAAATGATCCATGCCCAAAGGTTAATACACGCTGGTTAATAGGTTTGAAATTTCATCTCCCTCCAACGGATGAGTTTTCCTCACCTATAAATACCTCTCTTCACCACTGAAGAAAGGGCTAGCTGGTTGTTCAATTGATTTCATCTACGAAAAGCTCTTCAAACAAGTTCATCTAAAAAGCTTTTCAAAAGCCAGTGTGTGTGATTGTGAATTTTTCAAAGAAGCTCATCAAGATATATTCTTCACAATCATCAAGGAAGTCTCGCATCTTTATAAGAAGATTCATCTGATCATCAAGTCAAGACCTCAAGCAGTTGGAGAAATACATCAAATTCATCCAACACTCAACTCTAAAGAAGAAGTTGATAGAGGCGGAGTTGAAAATAAACCTTTCAAGTAGCTGTCCGGCTTAGTGATCAAGGAAGCTAGCTTGAATAGTTTGTACTAGGAGTGATAGTGCAAACCCTTTCACAAGTTGTGAAAGAAGAGTGGAGTAGGCTTTGTTGATAACCGAACCACTATAAAAATCCATCTCTCTATCTCTCTTTACTTTCGTGCAAATATCTATCTGGCATTGCAGGCATATCGACCACATCTTAAACCTTCATAACGAAACCGTGCAAAGTTCATCTTAAAACAAAAATAAAAACGATTAGAGTTTATTCACCCCCCCCCCCCCCCCCTCTAGACTCTCTTTCGACCCTACCGCGACCAACACCGGTGAGGTTCTTGGCGGCGGAGACGAGGAGGTGGTCGTAGAGGGCGACTGAGACGAGGATGGCTTGAAATCCCTATTTAAATTCATTTTATATTCATCCCTGTTTAAATTCATTTTGTGTTCACACATGTATCGATTGATTGTAATAATAGTTTAAGTCGAAGAGTTCATGCAACCTTTCAAATTTCAAGATATTTAAAAATATCAATTTCAAGATAAAAAATTTAAAATGCATGCGTTTTGTGTGGGCGGCACAATTACTTCTCCCCCTTATTATAGATGTGAACTGCCGCCCATAATTACTCATTTTCTTGGGCGGGAATTTTTATCTATTTTTATTTACCAAGTTTCTACTTTATTATAGTAGAGGATAGAGGATTTTGAATGTATTAGCTAATGTTGAAACTGTGTATCTATATATGATTAAACTTTGCTCTGTATCTTTTTTTTTTTTTCTTTTTTAATGCTCCGTATTTTTTCCTTTTTTTTCTTTTTCTTTTTTTGTTAAACAATACTTTGTATCTAAATGACTAAATCCCTAAATCACTAATGGCACGTTTGGTTCACGGAATAGGCTTGGAATGGAATAACATTCCCAGTAATAGGCATATTCCTTTGTTTGATAAAATCTTTTATTCCCAAGAACATTGTTCCTAGGAATGACTTATTCTCCTTGCAAAGGTAATAGAGATTCTAGGCACCCCTGGTATTAGGCTATTCCTGAATTCTCAGGAATAGCCTAAAATTTCTATTTCTTATTTTACCCCCCCCCCCCCCCCCCCCAAATAAATCTAAAACATGTCACACTGCTCTGCCCTGTCAAAGCCATTGCCGATGCCGGACAGAGGAGGAGAGGTGTAGACCACCGTCGAAGCCATCGTTGCTGCTCTGCCCTGCTCGCGGGGAAAACAGGGTTCGCTAGAGAGGGTCCCCGCCACTGCCCAGTCGTCGGCCGCCGCAACAGTTCGCCGGCGAGGAGAAGCTCGAGCTCGTTAGAGACCATCACCGCTGTTGCCTTCGTCTTACTGTTCGCCGTGGTCGAGGGAGAGAAGGAGAGAAAGAGAGAAAGACGAAGGAGAGTGAGGCGTGAAGGAAGAAGATGGTGGTGTTGTTGCATCGGATCTGCCGTCTGCTGGTTCTCGCCCCAACGCAGGTGGTTCTCGCCCCAGATCCGCTGCTCGTAGCTGATGCTTCGCCTTTCATTCTTCCATCGTAACTGCTGTTCATTCCACCGGCGACGAGCGGTGGTGGCGGATCTGTTTCTCCACCGTCCCTGTTCTTGGCGGCATCGGATGGTGAGAAGAGAGTGAGAAGAGGAAATGGTGAGAGATGTGACATGAAGGACGGTGGGTTTGGTACTTTGGTGAGAGATTTGAGGAGGGTGAGAAGAGGATTGGCTGTTTTTAATTTTTTTTAATTTATTAAATGAAATTTTAATTGTTTTTTTGTAAGGATATTTATGTCTTTTAAAATATATTTCATTTTTATTCCTTAGGTTAACCAAACACTGAAATATAATTTCTAAATTCTATTCCTTCCGCGAACCAAACAATAGAATATTCCTTGCCTATTCTATTTCTTATGGAATAGCATTCCTATTACCTCAAAATTCATTCTATGAACCAAACGTGCCATAAGTGTCTCTTCAACAGGGAATCCCATACGGCAACAACAACAACAACGACAAATACGGCATCCACAACCTTCATACGGCGTCAAGCTGTCACAATTTTCATACAGCGTCGGCAATTTTCACCAGAGCTTCGATACACACCACCGTTGAAAGTTGAAACAAAGCTATGAATCAGTGACAAACAAAGAAGCCAAGGACAATGGACAACGAACGTCAGTGGCAAAAAGTCTTTCAGCAAATAAGGTGATCAATTAAATTTTCCTTCGTTAAATCAGCAAATATAGGCATAATGTTCAATGTTATTGTGAGTAACTGAACACTTGAAACTATGAAGTATATATGGGCATAATATACAGTATTTTTGTTTATAATGTACTGAAACCTATAACCTATGAATTCAATTTATAAACAAACTCTTTGAATTTTTTGTCAGTTTTGGTGGTCCTAGTTCATGCGAGAAGTTATTATTATGGGAAGTCATAGAAGGCGGTGGTGGTGGCGGTGGTGGTAGTTCCTTGTAAAGAATCATGAGTATTTCAAAATAATAACAATAATAACAACAACAACAACAACAACAACAACAACAACAACAATAATAATAATAATAATAATAATAATAATAATAATAATAGGGATTTAGATACGGAGTATTGTTTGTTTTTTTTTTTCTTAAGCAAAGATATGGAGCATTAGAATTGAAAATACAAACTTTTATTTTACCATTAAATTAGTATCCATATAAACCTACAGAAAATGAAAATTGAATTTTTTTTTTTAAAGAGTTGTTGTAGTTAATTGAATGTTTTTTTAGTTCAGAGTGCTAATTGAACTTTCTTGAGTAATAAAGGAACTATTTGACCCTTATCCCTATTTAAAATAATAATAAAAAGGATGTATTTAGCGGTTGTTATAACTACACCCTGTGATTTCTTCTCTACACCTAAATTTTAATCCCCTATCCCATTATTTAAGGTCAGTGTCCGATTAATATTATTACAACCCGTCTCATTTGTATTGGTCCTATAAGGCTATAAAATCATGTAAAATAAAAATTTTGTGTTTACAATATCCCATATCTTAGCTTGTACATGAATTATTGCATATATGTTAATTATTACTTGAGAGTTAAAGTACCATCACTCAAAAATGTTGTTTGACTTCTTGTAACAGCAAGATCACATACCAAGTATACATGTGCATTTAAGAGAGGAGACCAATAGTCGAATCTCGACAGCAGCAGTGTAGGATTATGCTCAAAGTGAGCACATCTCTTATACTACCAACATTTGGCTCTATCTGCTGAGCCTTTGAGTCACTGTGATTTACATCCTCCCAAATCTTTCGGTGTGAGAGACTTTGGGGTTGAGGATTCAACCATTTTAAAGAAAAGTATGCGTGTGCATTGTGCACCCATTGATGAAGGTAGTTGGGTGCTAAAATAAACATTTATTGTTGGCAACAGTGCACAAGATCGTCAGTCCACTTTGGCATAAAACCGTACCAAAGCTAAAGCATTATTAGTACTACTTAATTAGAAGATCAGACCAACTTAATATTTGGATAATAGGTTGTTAGCAGAAGATGATGAGATGACGTCAATGGCGCAACCAAGAGGCCAAGCTGCTTCAACCATGTAGTTTTTGTACTCAACTTTCTTCATCAACGTAATCTCCTTGTAAGGGTGTAGGCCTGCAGATTTCAACAAGTATTTAACTTTTTAATTTAAAATAAAGATTCATAATTAATGATGAAATTATTAATTCTTAATACATATAGTATTTGTTAAGAACTAGGAGATAATAATCATGAAGTTACCAAGTCCATCCACGAGCAATGTGTATTGGTACACCAAATCCATGCATAAGTATGGATAATCTTTTTCCACTGCATTAGGAAATGTAGACTTCACATCTTCAAATTTAGTTTCACAAGCTAACTTTGCTGCCACTAGGAATGATCTTGGCTTAACTATTTTAGATGCCTTTCCTTCGTCAATAATACCCACCTACACGATTTTAAAGAAATATATTAGTTATTAGGAAATTCATATAACATTCAGATGATCGAGTTTTAGGATGTTGAGCGGAGGCTAGTGAATGAAGAGCCAAATCTAACACAGATTGATAGAAAATTCATATAACATTCAGATGATCGAGTTTTAGGATGTTGAGCAGAGGCTGGTGAATGAAGGGCCAAATCTAACACCAGGTTGCTAGAAAGTTCATATAACATTCAGATGTAGAGTTTTAGGATGTTGGGCGGAGGCTGGTGAATGAAGGGTCAAATCTAACAGCAGGTTGCTAGAAAATTCATATAACATTCAGATGATAGAGTTTTAAGATGTTGAGCGGAGGCTGGTGAATGAATTGAAGGGTCAAATCTAACACCAGGTTGCTAGAAAATTCTTATAACATTGAGATGATAGAGTTTTAAGATGTTGGGCGGAGGCTGGTGAATGAAGGGTCAAATCTAACACTAGGTTTCTAGAATGATTGTTGGACGGAGGCATGAAGATGCAAGTCCGTCAACACCTTATCTCTTGAAAATGTGGCGGTATCTTCCCTATGACTATAGTTTTTGACGTAATGGTAAAGCCTTTGATCCTGACATAGGACATATATATATATACTCAGTACCTATATATATCTTATTTATTTAAAGTATTGAAATTATCAATTAATACCATTCCAAAGATACTTACATCAATGGCTATATCATAGAAATATGACGAAATGTCGACATTCTCCATTCCAGCCCCTCCTCCACCACTCCACACCCCATTGAATGTGCAATTCGGATACTTACAGGGTGCCCTAAAATCAACCACTTTTCTGGCTAATTTCCTGCAATTCTTCAAGCTTGAACCATTTGGTGGGGCTGTAACTTTGTACGAGACATCATTGTATGTGTAGTAACCTACACAAAATTTGTTGCATTGCCATTAGTTTCATTCTTTTGCCTTTTTTTGTTTATATGTATAGTGGGTGTTAGTAAATTTTGATATATAGGGAACTTAACAAGAACTAAAGAGGATCAAATCGGATAACACTTCAAGGCATACAATTTGTTCACTTTATTAAATGTTTCTTATCAATTCGTAATCAATGCAACGTGATGGGGGTGTTTGGTAAATGACTATTAGCTTATTGTATTAGTGGGTTTGACTAGTTGATAACATTAACTAATTGTAAAAAAATGTTTGGTAAATTAGCTGTTAGCCGATTACATGTGTCTCAAAAAGTTGATCGAAAAAGCCACTTTGAGCAGCTTTTTGAATTTTAACGTTTTGGAGCAATAAGTTGTTACAAAAAACAAAGTAATCAAAAACTTACATTTATTGTTTAATCAAGTTAAACATCTAATAGCGGTCAAATAAGCCAAAATTGACTAATAAGCTAATTATGTTATCAAACAGGGCCTATACCTTTAAATTAAAATAGTTAGCCTATCAGCCAATTTTGGCTTATTTGACGACTATTAGTTGTTTGACTGAGTTAAACAATCAATATGAGTATTTGATTAATTAATTTTTTATAACAACTTATTGCTCCAAAATGCTAAAATTCAAAAAGCTGCTCAAAGTAGTTTTTTCGATAAGTTTTTTGAGAAAATCATTTTGTATGTAATCAACTATCAGCTAACAGCTAATTTACCAAATATCTTTCTACATTTAGTTAATGCTATCAACTAGTCAAACCCACTAGCCCAATAAGCAAACAACTATTTACCAAACACCGTAATGAATATGTAGATATTGAATTTCATTATTTAAACAAATTCAATTTTAAGGATGAAAGTATGGTATATATAGAAATGTTTGTCTAAATCTTCTATTTTGTATGAGGCTTTTTTTTTTTTTTTTTTGAAAGGATGAGGCTATTTCATACTCCTCAACTCCAAATAAGAGTTTTTTGCATTTTTGGTCCCACGACTATAGTGACACTATCAGAATTGATCCATGACTTTCAAACCTTGCAATTTTAGTCCACGACTATTGTTTTTTTGGCAAAAATAGTCCTTCCGGCCACTTTTCCATCAAAATTTCACCGGAGTAAAAAAATTTCATTTCTAAGAGGGCTAAATTTGACATGTTTAAGAAGGCTTGTATTACTGATTGTTTGCTGCCATATTTTGCAATAAAGAATTGTTTTTGATCTAGAAAGAATTGTTAAGGGAAATGTCAAATTTAGCCCTCTTAAAAATGAAGAAATTTTACTCCGGTGAAATTTTGATGGAAAAGTGACCGGAAGGACCATTTTTGCCAAAAGAACAATAGTCGTGGACTAAAATTGCAAGGTTTGAAAGTCGTGGATCAATTCTGACAGAGCCACTATAGTCGTGGGACCAAAAGTGCAAAAAACTCCTCCAAATAATGATCATGCAACTTTAAAAAATATTTCTTTATAAATATTTAATTGTGCGAGGGTGCACTTCATAAAATATGATAACATTCAATTTGGAGAGCTTACCATCATAACCTTCTAAAACACAAGGGTTGGTAGAGTTTCCTATGATAACATTCAATTTGGAGAGCTTACCATCATAACCTTCTAAAACACAAGGGTTGGTAGAGTTTCCTGAAGCCTTGAATATCTCAGCTCGGCTTGCTAATTGTCCATAGTTCAAATAACTATACACAATATTGTTATAACATTAAAACTGTATTATTTAGAAAAAGTATACATATATGTGTGTGTGTATGTATAATCTAGAAAAAAAAAATATTTTAGCAAAAGTTTTAGGGACAAAAACCTGTGAACATAGAGATAGTATTGGGCTCCCAAAATATATTTTTCTTGAACATAAGGCTCTTCTCCATTATGAGGTTTGGGTGCATTTGCAAAAGTGTCCCCTGAGACAGCATATGACACTTGTACTGATCCACCACCAAGGTCAATTGTTGCTATGGTGTTTTGGTACCCTTTGCCCAAATTTCCTAACAAATAATTCATGGCAACCTGCACATATATATAATATATTGGAATAGAATATTATTTTTGAATCACTTTTTACTGGTTAGCATCTAACATTTACGGTTTAGATTTAAAATTCATGTTTTTCATTGATTTTATAAAATTTATCAAGTTTGCATATTTAGTTGTTAAAGATGGCATATTTAAGTGTTCAAGTATGCATAGTGAAGTTAATGATAATTACGAAATGCCACTACGTTTTTTTTTTTTTAAAATTGGATTAGAACCATCGAATTTTTACAAATGTAAGACTAAAATTTGTTATTAATTTTCTCCTGAAGTGTGTTCTCATGGTATCCAAAGCCTCTATATATATTATTTATTTACCCAAAAGTAAGTGCCTTCTTGACTTCCTTCAAGAATTGAAACCCATTCTGCCTTGGACTTGAAATTGCTTTCATTCTTGAACATATCTCTCACCTGTAACACCAAAATTAATTTTACAAATAGAGAGTTTGTAAAATAAATAGATCTATCTATGTGGTATATATAAAAATAGTAAACAACTAAATAAATAAAGCACAAAATATTATCAATGACATTATGGTCTAGTGGCACAGAGTGACTTTCCTAAATGGAAATTCATGGGTTTGATATATTATTGAAGTAACTTTATCACGATTTTATAATATATATTTTTTGAAGTTTTCTGATCAAACCCATAAATTTGTGTACACACAAAATTAAATATTTACCGCTTGCAGGATTTTATCAGATGCATCTCCCTCTAGCAACCTAAGCCCTGCAGTTGCCTGTGTTGCCAACAATTTATATGTTTAGGTACATAATTAAAATTACTAACAATTAATTAAATTGTTAAATGAATTTAATTAATTTGTTAACTGACCCCAAGCTCAAGTGGTGTATCAGGTTGCAACTCAGTTGGTACAACACCTTCTGCTTCTAGAAGGAGTGGCTCAAGTGACTTGGCAGCCGCTTCTGGATCATCTGCGTATGAACTCAACCCTGGGGTTATCTGCAAAACAACGTAACGTTGAATTGAAGGCTACAAAAACCTCGAATATATTATTCTAACTCATAAAATTCAACAATATCGTTTTAAACTATGGCCCACACAATAATTTACTCTATCCTTGAGGCTCGGGCAAAGCCTTGCCCCCTGCCATCTCCTAATACTCGATATGTTTTAAATATTTGGTATAATATTCAAAAATTATATTTAACATTAGACTCTAATGCTAAACCTTATTATTCGAACAGTAGTCTTACAAATTATTTTAACATATTAGTTTTACGTAATATATTAAAAATTAATCTATAATAAATTAAAATAAACTTGTAATTCCTTTCAAAAAAGATAAACTTGTAATACAATGAAAATGAATCTAAAATAAATTAAAAATAAAAATATATGTATTTATCTTGTAATATGTGTTAGAGCATTCATATTAATAGATATTTTGTGGTTTTTGAAACAATACATGATGACATAGTGGCGAGAGAAGGTAAAAGAGAGAAAATTGGGGTTGCTATGCAAGGGAGAGTTTTTTGAAGAAATGTGGGACCCACTGAAAAAAACTCCCCAATAGTGCGCCCAGCGGACGTGTCAGGCGCGCTGATAGTCACTCTTTTAAAAAAAAGAAAATCAATTTTTTTTTCTTTTTTCTATTCTTTTTTATATTCTTTTTCTTAATTACACAGTCTAATTACACTTACAAAATTTTTTCAAAAACCACAAAAAACTTCACTATTCAGGCAATTTATATCCTACACCACGGCGCACGTTGCACTATGCGCCCAGATGCAAAACGACGTCGTTTTAATTTTTTTTTTTTTTTGAAATTTCCCGCCTCAATGAATGGCAGTAGTTTTTTCTTTAAAAAAAAACCCGCTGTTCAAGAATGTACATAATGTTATACTAGAATACACATAATTGTATACATGAATGTACATAATTATATAACAAAATATACATACTCTTTTTAAAAGATAATACACATAATCTAACATAATACATAATAAACATAAACTTTTAACATAATACACATCAACTATTAACATAATACACACAAATTTTCTGATTCGGATGTACATAACTGTATAAAAAGAACGTACATAATTGTATAAAAAATGTACATAACTGTATGAACCAATACACATAACTGTATGAACAAATACACATAACTGTGTGAACAAATACACATAATCTCAGCAACTTTCTACCGCGCCTTCCAAAACGACATCGTTTTGGGAGGCGCGCGGCACACAATGCTATGTGCGCCGAACGTACATAATTGTATAAAAAATGTACATAACTGTATGAACCAATACACATAACTGTATGAACAAATACACATAACTGTGTGAACAAGTACACATAATCTCAGCAACTTCCTACCGCGCCTTCCAAAACGACCTCAAAACGACATCGTTTTGGGAGGCGCGCGGCACACAGTGCTATGTGTGCCGTGGTGTAGAATATAACGATTGCACTATTCATGATATAATAAACTGTGCTAGAGGGCCCAGACTTTAAAAGGACTTTAGCAAGTGGGTACGGCCATACATCAATTATTTATTTTTGTTTTTCTACAAAAAAAAATAATAATAATAATAATTACTTTATGACGGTACGGTACCCACTTATTAAAGTCCTATTAAAGCTTGGGCCCTCTGATACAGTGTAATGGTTCGACAAAACGATGCAACTTCATCTGTATCACATTATTTTATTTCTATTTTGCTGAATAAACGTACTCCGTATCACTTTATCTTATTTCTAAAAATATCTCATTAGGTACCATATCTTTTAAATAATTGGCTAAATCCAAATTGGATGCTTTACCAAGAATCTTTTCTTCAATTATTATGCTAGGGACTAGAGTTCATATTATATTATGAATGTTATCTAAAAATTATATTTTTACAGTTAATAAATTTGTAGTTAATAATTTTTGTATTTATAAATAAATTGTAGGCACGTAACATGATAATTACAGACATATAAATATGATATCTATACACACATAATATAAAATGTTGGTTAACATGTATGTGTTTGCAGTTAACAAACTTTGTACTTGCACTTAATAATTTGTGTCTGCAATTACATATGGTGTGTTTTCAATTTATTTACAAGTACAGAAATTAACTGCAAATACAAAATTTGAATGTTATTTTTGAATTAAAATTCACAATGCAAGATAAATTTTGATCTGTAGTATAATTTGCCTCTTTTCTTTGCCCAAACCGAATCATAAGGATATGTATTACGGAGTATATTAATTATTTTATATTGTTCTTTAAATATGCCAGAGTAACAAACCAGCGCCGTTAAATTACACACATTTTTCGTGTTTATAAGTGAAAAACGCGAACGCGGAAGGAATTAATTAAATAAAATCATAGACCATAAATGAAGAAAGAAGAGACAATAAAATACTTCATCTGTCTTATTTTATGTGTCAATTAGTTAACGAGGTTTGACTAAATTTATTTTTAATTTAATTTTTCACAATATTAAGTCTAGTATTAGGGATCATTATATTGTGGACCGTGGTGCATATGTTAATTACTGTCGTTAGTTTTAACAGAGCGTGCATTTTTTTGTATGTTAATTACCAACTGACACTACAACATATCTAAACCGACACTGCCTCACGTGTTATTTTTATATTATCAAATGAAACTGCAGTTATATCAAAATGATACTGTAGTTGTGGTGAAATGAAACTGTAGTGTATATAAAATGAAACTGAATAACATTTCACATATTTGAGTGTATATTTTACAATGAAGCTGTAATTATATCAAAATGATCATGTAGTTGTGTTTTAATAAAACTATAGTGTATATAAAATAAAATTAAATAACATTTTCACATATTTGAGTCTATAAATATCGAATGAAACTGTAGTTATATCGAAATGAAACTGTACTTGTGTTGAACTGAAACTACAGTGTATACAAAATGAAACTGAATAACATAGTAACTTTTTACGGAAGGGTGCGGAACGGCGCGAAATGGATGTCGTTTCTTATCATTAAACAAAACGACGGCGTTTTGATGCGGGGTGCATGATATAATTTGCCTTAGTATTAGTATACACAATTTATATATTTAGAAACTATACTAAAATACTATTAAACACGCAAAAATATATATTAAATTTAAAAATAAGTAAAAATATTAAAAAATAAATTAGTTTAACCAATGAATAGTAAATATAACAGATAAAATGAAATAGACAGAGAAGTAAAAAAGATTTATACCTTGAGAAAAAATTCAACGCCATCGCCAACAGGGAGAAGATCTAAATTTTCATCAAAATGAAAGACATGAACTCTGCTGCCCGTGCTTCCGGCGTCAAATATAACGGCGTAGTTACCGGCTTCATGGTTCAGTAGCACTCGCCGGAGATGAGACCTCGAGAAACAAGCAAGGGGGAAGAGGAGAAGTGCTAATGATATGAAGACAAGATGATGATGACTAGTGTGTTTCATGGTGTTATGCTTCTAAAGAAAATAAAATAGATAATGCTGATAAATGGGAGGAAGGGACTAGGGAGTGCATCTTTTATAACACATGGGAAAAGTACTATTAGAGTTGTATTATATGTACTCTCAAATTTTACTCATTCATTTTTATTTTATGATATGACAAATAAAAATTGACTATTTTCATCACGTAAGTTCCAAAAATGTGTATATTTCAAAATTTTGTGAAAAGAAGTAAAAATTAAGAGTAAAAAATAAAAGTATATGTAGCATTTTTCATAATATTATTAGTTATTACTCCGAACTTTTAAGCACGTGAAACAGAAGTCAAATTAAAAATCAATCAATTATTACTATCACTCAATTATTCCTAGGGTACTCCTATGGATAAGAATTTTTCTTTATAATATATAATTATATTTTTTTTTTATAAATAAGTAGATTTTTTTTAATGATACAGTACACTCTATTGATTCATAACAGCTCATGAATGAAAATGACTCTTTTCTTTCATTTTATTTGTCATGATTATTATTTATTAGTAAAGCTAATTCATTTTTATTTATTTTCTTTAGTATTTTTAATTATATTTAAATTTCAAATTTTGTATTTAATAGTGTACTTTAATGTAGTTCTATATATATATATATATATATATATACTTCTTCTCTGTTTTCTCTATAAGAGGCACTTTTAAGCTTATACCATAAGTGCGGGCTAGATTGATTTTGTCATACGAAAAGGGATTTGAACTCAACTCCCGACATCCCTTAAGAGATGAGAGTGCACGATCACTCATGCTAACTAAACTGGTTAATAAGCAATGAAACAAAAATTTATTTGACCACCGAATAGTAAAATAGGACAGAGTAAATAAGAGCACCATAGTAGTTTTAGATTTTTGGTGGTTTTTATCGGACCATGTAGGAAAGAGAATGAGGAGGAGAGAGGAAGCAAAGAGAAAATTAAAAAAGCTGAAGAGTGTTCGAAAATAAAAAATGTTACATGTACTCTCATATATTGTACTCTCAACTTGTACTCTCACACACTAAATTTTGATGTAAACACTTGTATTGAGATTCACATGAAAAAAATGACTTATCAAACTCGTCACATCAAGAAATAAAATTTAGAGGGTAAAATTAGGGAGTACGCTTAGTAGAACAAAAATAAAAAATAAAAAAATAAACAAAGCGATTTACACGGCTAGCGGCGCTTGCATTGCACGTAGGGGTGTAAACGAGTCGAGCCGAGCTCAAGCTTGGGTTGGCTTGAGCTTGAGCTCGTTAAGGAAGGCTCGGCTCGAGCTTGAGCTCGAGTTCGATCGAACTCAACAACTGATGCTCGAGCTCGAGCTCGGCAATTTTCGAGCAGCTCGACCTCGGCTTGAGCAGCTCGATTGTTCGAGCTCGATCTTGAGCTCGAGTTCGAGCTCGATCTTGAGCTCGAGTTCTAGTTTGATTTGGGTTCGAATTCGGGCTTGATTTTGACGTCAAATTTGACCTGTTTGATTTTAAATTCATGTTCCAATTAAAAATAAACTACTTTGTTTTATCCATACATAATTGGTAGTTGTTGGCTAAGTAAATTGACAGAGACCGGAGACTACTCGACTATCTTCGTGTCTTGTCTTCTGTCGGGTGAGTGCCTGAGCTAAGGCGTGGGGAGTTGGGGAAGTGATAGAAGATTAGAAGGGTAGAAATTTAATTATTATTATTATTATTATTATTATTATTATTATTATAATATATAAGGCTCGCGAGCGGCTCGACAACCAGCGAAACTAAAATAATTAGGCTCGGCTCGAGCTTGATTATTAAACGAGCCGCTCGAGTTCAGCTCGAGTTCGATTTTGACCGAGTTCGAGCCGAGCTTTGACCGAGCCGCTCGCGAGCGGCTCACGAGTAGCTCGGCTCATTTACACCCCTAATTGCACGTAGTCCTCAATCGCTATGGAGCTGGACCGCGGCGGAGTGGCTGTCGCTGTAGTACAGCACTGCACGTAGGTCTCCGATCCTATCAGCTGACCGGAGAAGTGAGGCACTTTATTGATCTTCTCCTCCCGGCAGAGCTCAGGCCTCAGGGGTTTTCTTCTCCGATAACAGATTTGTTGCCCGGCCCATTACATCATGAGCAGGAAATCGACGTCGTTGCACGTTCGGCGGCACAATTAAGTTCACCATGAACGGCTAGATCCTACTCGACTGGACGCTAGCTAGCTGTCTGTGGCTCGCCGGCCGGCCGCGAATTCTGCTACGACGACCCTGCAGCTTAGCTTCCAGGCAACTAACGAGCATCCTTTCATCGGCTATGGCCAGGGATTCAGAGCAATTCATGACAAAATTACGGAGGAATTGTAGTGTTGAGGGAGTAGTATAAATGGAAGGTAATTTGAGCATGGAGGCATCGACCTTTTTTTCCAAAAACCATTCACGGAGGTTTCCGGTCGCCACCGAGCTTTTCTGGTTCGGCGCCGCAGACTCCGTGACGTAGCTCCGGCCGGTTGGCGTTCAAGTCTCTGTTCAGCGTGCAATTCCGGCGGCTGCAACTCCCGTTTCCAGGCAGCAGATTTCCTTCGGCGTTCCAGAAATTTTCTTGGGCGCAGCAGTGTCTTCTCGGCTTCAACAAATAATTTCTAGCAGCATTTGGCAAAGCAACTCAAACTTCTTTTTTTTTTTTTTTTTTTTTGAATGCTACTAGCTCTATTACATTCTAGTATCTGTTCATATACTTTCTCAACCTACTAAAACACAAAGAGCTAATAACGCCTCCACTGAGACTCGAACTCACAACCTTCCACATGGAAGTCCAACCCGAATACCATGGAACTTCTTTAATTTGCGGCAGTCCAATTAATTACGCCAACCCTCGTTTTCCCCTTCTCTTCATTTTTTGTTTTTGTCAAAATTATCTTGTAATTATTCTTTGAAAAATAATATTCTGTGAGCTACTTGCTGCACCAAATGCTCTGTCAATTCAGGACATGAGAGTTTTGGGATTGGATTCAACCTTTTGGAAACAATAATGAAATAAGGTTCAAATAGGTCATCTAACTGCACACCAAAGTGCAATTAGACCATTGAACTCAAAAGAATGCAATTGAGTCATTGAACAACACAAAAAAATACAATTTAGCCCAAAATGACTTGTTTACCTAGAATAACAAATTACCAATTTTAAAATTAATTTTTTAAAATAATTTTTAATAAATAAATAATTAAAAAAAAAAAAAAAGAAAATTGCGGCCGGAGATGAATCGTCTCCGGCCGGCTTTGTCTCCATGGCCGGAGACGAACCTCCGTCTCCAGCCATGGAGACAAAGACCTTCGTCTCCATGGCTATGGAGACGAATTCGTTTCCAGCCATGGAGACGACGTCCTTCGTCTCCCTGGCCATGGAGACGAAGGTCTTTGTCTCCATGGCTAGAGACGGAGGTCCGTCTCCGACCACGGAGACGTAGCCGGCCGACGCCGGCAGTTTCTGTTTTTTTTTTTTTAATAAATATTTTAATTATTTATTTATTAAAAATTATTTTAAAAAATTAATTTTAAAGTCGGTAACTTGCTACACCAGGTAAACAAGTCGTTTTGGGCTAAATTGTATTTTTTTGTATTGTTCAATGGCTCGATTGCATTCTTTTTGAGTTCAATGGCCTGATTGCACTTTGGTGTGCAGTTGGATGGCCTATTTGACCCTTATTCCAATAATAATTTATGCATAGTTAAATCCTTGTCTAAGAACGTGAAGAAAATCACAATGAAAAGCTTACGCTAATAATGTTTAATTTGCCCATCAAGTTGGTGATTCGCAGGAAAAGATAATTCGCCCGAGAAGAATGAAATAGATGTAAACTAACTAAAATACCCTCATTATTTTAACTGTTAAAATTTTCCGGCGAAATTTGGCCGACAATTTGACCGGAGTGATCAAAATTGATAAAAATTGTATAGTTAAGATACTAAATTGACACTTTTAAAAGTGTAAGTGCTGAAATTAACAAAGCTCTTATAGTTATATGATCAAAATTGAAATTTTCTCTAAAATAAATAGTTTCTAGATTGTCCCTTTGCCATGTATATATAATGTATCTTGTGCTTTCTCCACTTTCTCTATTCTCTTATCTCCCACCATATCTATCAATTTTTAAATATTGTGAGCTAGTATTAATTTCAATCTACGGATCAAATATTAAGATATGTGTATCAATTTTGAGAAACAACACCGCTTTAATACTTACACAATATCAATAAAATTATTTCTAAAATAATATAATAACATGTATTACCACGAAATAATTATTATAGTCACTAGTATTTGTCTCGTGTGATGCACGGAATATTTGTTTTAAAAATATAACCTATATGAGGTTTATTCATATATAAAAATTTTGTTATTTAATAATTATCACCCGCGCGATGTACGGGGAAAAAATTATGTTATTATAAATATAACTAAAAAAATAATATAAAAATTAAATTGTTTAATATAATAATATTTTTGAACTTCCATTGGTCAAGTATTTAATATTTTTATAGAATACAAAATTAAAATTAAAATTTTGTATGGTTAATATAATCTCTAATTATGTACATATTCAAATAAACTTATAGAGAGAATTTACATAATTACATTGACTTATTCTTAATTGTATTTATAGACAGTTTCTCTCTCTAGATTCTCTCTAGGGTTTTTGCGATTCCTACTAGGGTTTTCCTAGGTTTTCAATGGAGATCGGTTCTTTCTGTCCGGACAATGGCCGGAGACGTTGCTATGGATGGCGGATTGATTGGGAGTGAGGAGAGGACGAATGCTGAGGATGATCGATTCGGTGAAGGGCTGTCGGACGGGCCTATGTTGCGGCGAACGGTGGAGGGGAGGAAGGATATGCAGCGAACCGGCGGAGGGAGTTTGGCTGGGAGGGTGTTCGGAAGTAACGAGGGCTTGCTTATGGAAAACATGCAGCAGGAGGGAGGGGGTAGGGGTAATGGCGGTGGGCGGCGTATGCGTGATGCGCTGGCTGGGGAAGTTGGCAGAAGGGTGGGCGGTGATGTGGGCAGTATG